AAAGTTGGCTACAGCTCAGAGCCTGGGGCCTGCTTTAGATTGTTTCTCTCTCTCTCTCTCTTTCTCTCTCTCTTACCCTGCCCCTCCCCCACTCATGCTCTGTCTCTCTCAAAAATAAATAAATGTTTTAAAAAAATAAAAAAGATTGTTCGAGTTTAATTTTGGCTATGCCAATTGTGGAAAATATTGAGACAGATGAAAGAAAACAGTAATATATTCTGCATACAAGGAATAATATAGTTTTACACATAGTTCTGAACCAACACCAAGAATATTGCAATATAATAAAGAAATGAAAACTTTCTATAGTATTTTTTTTAAATGTTTATTTATTTATTTCTGAGAGACAGAGACTGAGCACCAACAGGGGAGGAGCAGAGAGAGAGGAAGAGACAGAATCCGAAACAGGCTCCAGGCTCCGAGCTGTTAGCACAGAGCCTGATGCGGGCCCGAACCCACAGACCGTGAGATCATGACCTGAGCCGAAGCCGGACGCTCAACCGACTGAGCCACCCAGGCGCCCCTCTACCGTATTTTTATTAGCATTAAAACACTTGTACTGAATCATAGAAAAATAACTTAATTACAGGAAGCCTACTGTTTTTCTCAGCTTTACTTCAATTAGAATGCAAGTTCTTAAATTACAAGGTCAGGAGTGTAAAATATCAACTGCCAACGTTGTCTAAACTAAGGGATATGCACGAATAATGATAAACTTCACAGCCAATTATTGCAGTAATCTCAAATTCTATTTGAAGTAGGCCCCTACCTATCCTTTAGTTTTTAAAAATAAAATTGAAGTAGTACAATACAGTCAGTAAGGAAATTAAGAATCCTGGTGACAATAGATGATATATATTTTGTACTGACCAGAGTACTAAACCCAGAAAAAGAATGAAAATAATATGTATTTTTTAAAATATCGGTACTGGAATAATCATTTACAGGTCTCCCTATAAACTTCCTCTATTGTCGAGGATCTCTTACTTCAGGCTTTAAAAGGCTTCCAAACTCCCCTACATAATAAAGAGAAAAAAAATATATAACGAAACAAAAGAAAAACCCTGGGTGAGCAAGTAATTTAAAGGTAAAATGCACAGGTATAGAGTCCCACTAATATGCCTCCCTGTTATCCCAGAGAGGGGAAGGAAATGAACGAAGGAATTGGATAATGGAGAGAAAACAAAAAAAGATAGTGAAAAAGGAGGAAAGCCAAGGAAAGAGGGAAAGGGCGGAGACTTTAAGAAGAAGAGAGGGCAAAGGAGGAGAAAGTGGGTTAAGATCAAACGCAAGCAGTAGGGGATAGAAGAGCCGGATAACCCCGCAAGCCCCGCCCCCAACCTCGGGCCCCACCCCCACCCCGCACCAGGCCCCGCCCCGTCAGGTTCCCTCAGGGTCCTGCCCCGCCCTGCCTCGCCGGCGGCGGCCGCGTCAGGTGACAGCCCGGAAGCAGCGGAAGCGGATGAGGGAAGCGCGGCCCCGGCCCTGGGGGCGGCGCGCAGCTGCAGGAGCTTCGGCCTCCTCCGGGCCACTGCGCGGCCCTCATGCGGCGCCCCTGCTGACACCTGAAGTCCACCGCTCGCAGTCCTCCTCGGGACCGCGGGGTCGCCTGGCCCGCCGCCCTTGGCGGTTGAAGTCGTCGTCTTGCGGGCCCGCGGCGGCCGCCCATGGAGAAGTCCGGGCGGGGAGGCGATGGCGCCCCCCGGGGGCCTGTACTGCACATCGTGGTGGTTGGCTTTCATCACAAGAAGGGCTGCCAGGTGAGGAAGGGGCCTGAATCCGCGCCCCCCCCCCCC